TTAGTCCTGGTACCCTGCATATTGACTCAGATACTGGTCACTCCCTTATATAGCCATGTTTTACCTGGTCCCTGAATTCAGTACTGGTACTCCCTGTATATAGCCATGTTATTACCTGGTACCCCTGACTCAGTACTGGTACTCCCTGTATATAGACATGTTATTACCTGGTACCCCTGACTCAGTACTGGTACTCCCTCTATATAGCCATGCCATATGTCCTTGGGCAGTTCAACAAAGAGGCAGTGTTCGTGTCTGTGTGAGTCACAAGCCTTATCTCACCCTACCCCCTAACAGTTCCTCACATTAATCACAGCTTGTTATATTAAACAATCTATATCAGTACAGTACAAACCTATTATGTTTAATCATTAATGCTTTCTTATTAAGCTAACAGCACATCTAAAATATAAGATAATAATTTCCCACAATCCCCCTTTTCACACCCAAAATAAGAAAACCCAAAATAAGAAATTTCAGGGAAATTTAGGATTCCCCCTTTTGACACCCACTAGGGTGTCACTCATTAAAATACAATACAAACACAAATAATCACACTTTTATTAATAGGCAATATGATAATAAAAAGGCCTTCAGTCCTTCCATCTACACCCAACTTGTACTAGGTTGGCTACCAGCCACCCAGGAACTTCAAACCTTCACATAAGGAAAGACAAACATTCACAATGGTTAACTTGATTAATAAAGCATAAAACATAAACAGGGAAGTAACCTTTGGCCCCCTTTAGACACCCACTAGGGTGTCACTCCACCACCTCACCAATAACCTATTTAGCTAGCTAGCTATGTTTTGTGGAAGAATGTAGCTATGATATATTATTAACCATTGAGTTGTGGTACAGTGTTATTGTAACTAACTAGCTAGTTCGGTAGTAAACATGAGCAATGCAGATCATTGATCGTAGCTAGAAATGCAAATTAACATGAGCAGCATGGCAGTTTCCCAAAGTGTAGTGGTTTTAAACTTAACGTAGCTAGCATTAGCTTGCTAGCTACCTAAATTTGACTAGCTATGATTTGTGTAAGAAAGTATGATATAAACTGACCTGGTCATACGCGTTAGCTAGCGTTACAATCTTATGTTGGCTAACTTTACCTAGCTAATATTAACTGGCTATCATCACAGCCAAGGACGTTCGCTAGCTTATTTATGCATATTTGTTTGTGCTCTGATTACACACAAGTGTCTAGGTCAGCATTTTACACATGATGACTTTAGCCTTTTATGAAAAACCTTATTTGCCTAAATATAGCTAGCTTTCCTCGCTTGTTGGTTAGCTAACTAGCCAACGTTAGCTGTCATCTGACTGGTACATTGCATTTGGAAATTATTCAGACCCCTTCCCTTTTTCCACATTTTGTTACGTTACAACCTTATTCAAAAATATGTTAAATTAAGGTTTTTCTTCATCAATCTACACACAATACCCCATAATGACAAAGCAAAAACATAGACAGGCCCTTTGCTATGAGACTCAAAATTGAGCTCAGGTGCATCCTGTTTCCATTGATCATCCTTGAGATGTTTCTACAACTTGATTGGAGTCCACCTGTGGTAAATTAAATTGATTGGACATGATTTGGAAAGGCACACACCTGTCTATATAAGGTCTCACAGTTAATAGTGCATGTCAGACCAAAAACCAAGCCATGAGGTCGAAGGAATTGTCCGTAGAGATCCGAGACAGGATCGAGGCACAGATCTGGGAAAGGGTACCAAAACATTTCTGAAGGTTTGAAGGTCCCCAACAACACAATGGCCTCCATCATTCTTAAATGGAAGAAGTTTGGAACCACCAAGACTCTTCCTAGAGCTGGCCGCCCGGCCAAACTGAGAAATCAGGAGAGAAGGGCCTTGGTCAGGGAGGTGACCAAGAACCCAATGGTCACTCTGACAGAGGTCTAGAGTTCCTTTGTGGAGATGGGAGAACCTTCCAGAAGGACAACCATCTCTGCAGCACTCCACCAATCAGGCCTTTATGGTAGAGTGGCCAGACGGAAGCCAGTCCTCAGTAAAAGGCACAAGACAGCCCGCTTGGAGTTTGCCAAAAGGCACCTAAAGGACTCTCAGACCATGTGAAACAAGATTCTCTGGTCTGATGAAACCAAGATTGAGCTCTTTGGCCTGAATGCCAAGCGTCACGTCTGGAGGAAACCTGGCACCATCCCTACGGTGAAGCATGGTGGTGGCAGCATCATGCTGTGGGGATGTTTTTCAGCGGCAGGGACTGGGAGACTAGTCAGGATCGAGGGGAAAGAAAGGAGCAAAGTACAGAGAGATCCTTGATGAAAACCTGCTCCAGAGCACTCAGGACCTCAAACTGGGGCGAAGGTTCACCTTCCAACAGGACAACAAAACTAAGCACACAGCCAAGACAACGCAGGAGTGGCTTCGGGACAAGTCTCTGAAAGTCCTTGAGTGGCCCAGCCAGAGCCCGGACATGAACCCGATCTAACATCTCTGGAGAGACCTTAAAATAGTTGAGCAGCGACGCTCCCCATCCAACCTCACAGAGCATGAGAGGACCTGCAGAGATGAATGGGAGAAACTCCCCAAATACAGGTGTGCCAAGCTTGTAGCGTCACACCCAAGAAGACTCTAGGCTGTAATCGCTGCCAAAGGTGCTTCAACAAAGTACTGAGTAAAGGGTCTGAATTCTTACGTAAATGTGAAATTTCATTTTTATTTATTTTTTAATTTGCCAACATTTCGAAAAACCTGTTTTTGCTTTGTCATTATAGGTTATTGTGTGTAGATTGATGAGGGGAAAAAACAATTTAATCAATTTTAGAATAAGGCTGTAATGTAACAAAATGTGGAAAAATTCAAGGGGTCTGAATACTTTCCGAATGCACTGTATAACGTTATAGTAGCTACTTAGCTAATCAAAACAAAACCACATTCATTGGCTAGCTACCTTTGTTTGCCTGTTTGTTAGCTAGCTACAGAGGCTAGCTGCTGAACTTTGGACAAGCAACCTAACATTAGCTAGCTACCTAGCTAATCATAATATCTGTTTGCATTTATTGATTAACCTCACCATAGAGCTAGCTATCTACAGTAGCCTAAGTTTGTTCCATACCCTTCTTATGACTGGCAGCATGGGGCAAGCAGCTGTGTTGTTGCCGAGCAACCGACCCGGTGTTACAGAACTCTGAGCTTCAGCTAAAAAAAGATGTTAGCAATATCAGAAATGCTACAAAAAGGTAGCACGTCGCTGGTTCTTAATGGACAGAAATTAGCATGTGAGAGCAATAAATGATGAACGTATTCAGTCCGAAAGGTGGCAAGTCTAAACGTCACTTTATGGACGCTGTAGTCTCGTTCTTATCCGACGATATTGGGGGAAAAAATGTCTGATGACCCTAATGCTAACAACCCTGTTAGTAATTGGTTCTCGGTAACGGCTGGACAGCTCATGACGAGTATTTACAAGGCGTTTGACAAAAGGCTAATATTTTTGCTGCTGTGTGTTGCTCCAATCAAGTTGATTTGTGAATTTCCATTGAGATTTGTGTCATGTAGGATTAGATACGATGGTAGATAGATAAAAATGTAACATTGAGTTTCAATCAATGCCTAGCGTCCCACAATAATATAATATGAACTAACTAATCATCTCAATTGCATTTCCTTCATTCCTCACATCCTCTCTCCTTGCCTCCTTTTCAAAACCCATTGGATAAGAAGGTGAGAGATCCAATGGGTTTTGAGAAGGAGATGAAGAGAGAGGATGCAACAAATCAAGGAAATTGAAGACAGAGGAAGCAAGTAGTTGCCCGCTATTAAATTAGTTGGACAGTACCAGCCTGACTGACTGAGCTACCATAATACCCATGGCCTGTCCAGAAACAACCCCTAGCCCCTACTGCCCAGAGTCTAGACACTTGTGGAGATCTGAGAGGGATTGGTGGGTGGTGACATGGTGAGAGCTCCACCTTACTCTCTGATTGGCTTGGTGGAATTTTGGCGGTATTCCTTACACTTGTCAAATTCTCTCAGATCTCCACAAGAGTCTATGGTTAGGGGCTAGGGGATCAAAATGTGATAATGTCCCCACGTAACTAAACCGCTAGATATCAAACGAGCATCAAACAACTATTATGGATAATTATTGAAGAGCCCCTTTGATGACAGTATCAGTTTTATTAATCATATTAAAGTTACTCTTTCTGTTTGAAGCATTGGATTTTGCAATCACATACATTATTTGGGATATGTGAGCCTATGAAAAAAGTTTTCACACCGTAACATAACGAGATACAAACTGTTACGAGGTTATAGTACACTTCCAAGATCTCCATACAAAAAAGAGTCTGACAGCAATATCCAGGAATTTCGCAGGGTCAAGGTCAATATGTAAATCAGTTGTTAAATGCTTAGTATTATACGTGTAAAGAAAGAAAGGTAGCATTTTATGTCACACGATATTTGACAAATCTGTGAAGACTCCAAACATGAGAAAGGGTTTAAACAGGTTTTGATTAAACTCATGACTTATATTGAATATATCTGTGTTCCCCCTTTATATCTTAATGTATTCACATTAAGAAAAAAAAAGCGAATTCTTAATGACTTTGTAACAGCTCCAAACAGTTGTCCACTAAAATAAATAATCACTGGTACCCTAGTTTATAATAATACACACCTACGCTTGTGCAAAAGATAAGGAAAACATTGCAAAAGATAGAGTCGAGAAAATAAATATTTAAATTAAATAACATTGAAATAACTTTGATGTTTTCAACCTGCATAGTGTCCAGCACTTTGAGAAAAGAGTGGTTACATTTTATTATTATTGAAATGAATAATGTGAGACAGATCATAAATGGCTCAAAGTTCAGTTTGAATGACACCCTGAAAAAGTATACAACAACCAAAAAATGTGTGTAGTGTGTTGTCTGGTGGGTACACTGTGTGTTGTCTGGTGGGTACACTGTGGTGTCCAGTAGTATTGGGTTGATGGGTTGCTTCTCCATTATTTCTTCTGTCTCTCAGGGAACAGCCATCTCCATTTCTCATTCTGCAGGAAGCCAAACAGTCAGTCATTATACAGCTGAGGAACAGTCAGCCATTTTACAGATGAGGAACAGTCAGCCATTTTACAGATGAGGAACAGTCAGCCATTTTACAGATGAGGAACAGTAAGCCATTTTACAGATGAGGAAGAACATCAGACATCACATTAGAATCAGATCTAGCAGTGTATGACTACCACTACCATACTGCCATTACCATGGACATGTCTGGACGCAGTACCCACCTTTATCCCCCAAGAGGAGGTGGTGCGTTTGGATTTGAGCTCCTCCACTGGCTCATAGGTGTGGTTGTTAGTTGAAAGTCTGGCAGATCCTTTCAGTCCTAACTCTGGTATGTGTTCATTAGGTCTGGCTGATCCTTTCAATCCTAACTCTGGTATGTGTTCATAAAGTCTGGCAGATCCTTTCAGTCCTAACTCTGGTATGTGTTCATAAAGTCTGGCTGATCCTTTCAGTCCTAACTCTGGTATTTGTTCGTAGGTGTCATCCAGTAGGAGACGGAGAACCTGCTCATGAGGGACCTCAGCGTACACACTGTCAGCTCCCTCTTCCTCTTCCTGTGGTGATGATGTCATGGGTCCTTCCTGGTCCCTGGGTCTACCTGCCAGTTGATACACAAGGCTGGGGCTGGGGCTGTTACTTAGATGTTCCAGACTGTGGCTGATGATGGGCGGTCTCTTGGAGGGATCATTGTGGTACCTCTGGTCCAGAAGGGAAGGTCCGGATGGGTACCTCTGGTCCAGAAGGGAGGGGCTAGAGCTCTGGTCAGTGGTCCGTTTGTTGGGTTTGGGAGAGAGTCTTGGGGGGGTGAAAGAAGGTGCACTCAGCCTGTAGGAGTTATTGGCCCCTTCCTCAGAGTCATGATCCAGGTCCAGGAGAGGCAGAGACTTGCTCTTGCTGTCCAGCAGGCTGCCTGGGCCTGGCCCTGGGGCTGGGGCTGAGGCTGGGCCTGGGGCTCCAGGTCTACCCATGGGAATGCTCCCCCTCTGAGGGGACTGATGTTGGGCTACAGGACCCAGGCCTTCAGACCTCTCTTCTGGAGCTCTGGGTGTACCCTCCAGGCTCCTGGGTTGGGGATCCCTGGCCTTGTGCTTCTCCAGCTGGGCATACAACACCCTACTCTGAGCACTACCCTGTTGGTCATCCAGGGAACTGCTCTTCAAAGGGCCTGCCCTTCTAGGCACAGGTGGGACACTAGGTACAGTTGGCACAGGGGGTATTTCCTGGTTAGAGAGACATGAGGAAGCGATTTGGTTACACTCTGATCAACTTTGAATCTGTATTTGCAAACGCCAGCAAGTAATCAAAACAAATGGAAGGCCTGAGTTTTACAAAGAGGCACTTTGACTTGACATCTATTAGTTGAATGTTCTACCAACCCCCCTATAAAGCATGTAGTGTTGCACGTTACAATAAACCAGCTGCAATAAAATAATATAACATGTTATTTATCAAATGCTCCAAATACAACAGGTGTAGACCTTACAGTGAAATGCTTACTTACAAGCCCTTAACCAACAAGGCAGTTCTAACATTTACATTATTTAGCAGACGCTCTTATCCAGAGCGACTTACAGGAGCAATTAGGGTTAAGTGCCTTGCTCAAGGGCACATCGACAGATTTTTCACCTAGTTGGCTCGGGGATTAGAACCAGCGACCTTTCGGTTACTGGCACAACGCTCTTAACCACTAAGCTACCTGCCGCCCCCTCTTTAAGAAAGAATACCAAAAAGAAATCACAAAAAAATTCAATATAAAACAATACGAAGTAAAAGTAACAAATAATTAAATAGCAGCAGTAAAATAACAATAGCGAGGCTATATACAGGCTATATACAGCTATATACAGGCTATATACAGGCTATATACAGGCTATATACAGCTATATACAGCTATATACAGGCTATATACAGGCTATATACAGGCTATATACAGCTATATACAGCTATATACAGGCTATATACAGCTATATACAGCTATATACAGGCTATATACAGCTATATACAGCTATATACAGGCTATATACAGCTATATACAGGCTATATACAGGCTCTATACAGGCTCTATACAGCTATATACAGGCTATATACTGCTATATACAGGCTCTATACAGCTATATACAGGCTATATACAGCTATATACAGGCTATATACAGCTATATACAGCTATATACAGCTATATACAGGCTATATACAGCTATATACAGGCTATATACAGCTATATACAGGCTATATACAGCTATATACAGGCTATATACAGCTATATACAGGCTATATACAGGCTATATACAGCTATATACAGGCTATATACAGCTATATACAGGCTATATACAGCTATATACAGGCTATATACAGGCTATATACAGGCTATATACAGCTATATACAGGCTATATACAGGCTATATACAGCTATATACAGGCTATATACAGGCTATATACAGCTATATACAGCTATATACAGCTGTGGTCCTCTGTAGCTCAGCTGGTAGAGCACGGCGTTTGTAACGCCAAGGTAGTGGGTTCGATCCCCGGGACCACCCATACACAAAAAATGTATGCACGCATGACTGTAAGTCGCTTTGGATAAAAGCGTCTGCTAAATGGCATATTATTATTTTTTATATTTTTATATACAGGCTATATACAGGCTATATACAGGCTATATACAGGCTATATACAGGCTATATACAGGCTATATACAGCTATATACAGGCTATATACAGCTATATACAGACTATATACAGCATATACAGGCTATATACAGATTATACAGGCTAATATACAGCTATATACAGCATATACAGGCAATATACAGGCTATATACAGGGCTATATACAGCTATATACAGGCTATATACAGCTATATACAGTCTAATATACAGGCTATATACAGGCTTATAAACAGGCTATATACAGGCTATATACGGCGATAATACAGGCTATATACAGGCTATATACAGGCTATATACAGGCGATATACAGGCTATATACAGGCTATATACAGGCTAATAAGCTATATACAGGCTAATATACAGCTATATACAGGCTATATACAGGCTATATACAGGCTATATACAGCTATATACAGGCTATATACAGGCTATACACTATTACAGGCTATATACAGGCTATATACAGGCTATATACAGCTATATACAGGCTATACAGTATACAGCTATATACAGGCTATATACAGGCTATAACAGGCTATATACAGGCTATAAACTTAACAGGCTATATACAGGCTATATACAGGCTATATACAGGCTATATACAGCTATATACAGGCTATATACAGGCCTATATACAGGCTATATACAGCTATAACAGGCTATATACAGGCTATATTACAGGCTATATACGCTATATACAGGCTATATACAGTATATACAGCTATATACAGGCTATATACAGCTATATACAGGCTATATACAGCTATGTACAGGCTATATACAGGCTATATACAGGCTATATACAGGCTATAACTTACAGGCTATATACAGGCTATATACAGGCTATATACAGCTATATACAGGCTATCAGCTATATACAGGCTTATACAGGCTATATACAGGCTATATACAGGCTATATCACAGGCTATATACAGCTATATACAGGCTATATACAGGCTATATACAGGCTATATACAGCTATATACAGCTATATACAGGCTATATACAGGCTATATCAGCTATATACAGGCTATATACAGCTATACAGCTATATACAGCTATATACAGGCTATATACAGGCTATATACAGGCTATATACAGGCTATATACAGGCTATATACAGCTATATACAGCTATATACAGGCTATATACAGGCTATATACAGGCTATATACAGGCTATAAATCAGGCTATATAGCAGGCTATATACAGGCTATATACAGGCTATATACAGGCTATATACAGGCTATATACAGGCTATATACAGGCTATATACAGGCTATATACAGGCTATATACAGGCATATACAGCTATATACAGGCTATATACAGGCTATATACAGCTATATACAGGCTATATACAGGCTATATACAGGCTATATACAGCTATATACAGGCTATATACAGGCTATATACAGGCTATATACAGCTATATACAGGCTATATACAGGCTATATACAGGCTATATACAGGCTCTATACAGCTATATACAGGCTATATACAGGCTATATACAGCTATATACAGGCTATATACAGCTATATACAGGCTATATACAGGCTATATACAGCTATATATAGGCTATATACAGCTATATACAGGCTATATACAGGATATATACAGGCTATATACAGCTATATACAGGCTATATACAGCTATATACAGGCTATATACAGCTAAATACATAAAAAAACTAAATACTGCAAAGTTTCCTAAGAGCTAGTCGCGAGGCCGCCATCTTCGTCGGCACCAGGTCTCATCCTGGGACGACATCATCGATGCACTTATTGATGAAGCCAGTGACTGATGTGGTGTACTCCTCAATGCCATCTGAAGAATCCTGGAACATGTTCCAGTCTGTGCTAGCAAAACAGTCCTGTAGCTTAGCATCTGCTTCATCTGACCACTTTTTTATTGACCGAGTCACTGGTGCTTCCTGCTTTAGTTTTTGCTTATAAGCAGGAATCAGGAGGTTAGAATTATGGTCAGATTTGCCAAATGGAGGGCGAGGGAGAGCTTTGTATGCGTCTCTGTGTGTGGAGTAAAGGTGGTCTAGAGTTTTTTTCCCTCTGGTTGCACATTTAACATGCTGGTAGAAATGAGTTAAGTTTCCCTGCATTAAAGTCCCCCGCCACTAGGAGCGCCGCCTCTGGATGAGCTTTTTCCTGTTTGCTAATTGCCGTATACAATTAATTGAGTGTGGTCTTAGTGCCAGCATCGGTTTGTGGTGGTAAATAGACAGCTATGAAAAATATAGATGAAAACTCTCTTGGTAGATAGTGTGGTCTACAGCTTATCATGAGGTACTCTACCTCAGGCGAGCAATACCTAGAGACTTCCTTAGATATCGTGCACCAGCTGTTGTTTACAAATACACGTAGACCGCCACCCCTTGTCTTACCAGAGGCTGCTGTTCTATCCTGCCGATACAGTGTATAACCCGACAGCTGTATGTTATCCATGTCGTCGTTCAGCCACGACTCGGTGAAACATAAGATATTACAGTTTTTAATGTCCCGTTGTTAGGATATTCCTGCCTGTAGTTCGTCCACTTTATTATCAACCGATTGTAAATTGGCCAATAGTATCGATGGCAAAGGCAAATTAGCCACTCATCGCCGGCTCCTTACCAGGCACCCCGATCTCCTTCCGCGATATCTCCTTTTCTTTCTACTGAATGACGGGGATGAGGGCCCTGTCGGGTGTCTGGAGAAAATCCCTCTCGTCCGACTCATTAAATAAAAATTATTCGTCCAGTTCAAGGTGAGTAATCGCTGTTCTGATGTCCAGAAGCTCTTTTCGGTCATAAGAGACGGTAACAGCAACATTAAGTACAAATAAGTTACAAACAATGTGAAAAAACACACAAAATAGCACGGTTGGTTAAGAGTCCATAAAACGGCAGCCATCCCCTCCAGCGCCATCTCTGCAACAGGACTGTAGTTTGTGTGTGAACATTTTGTTGAGCAAACTCACAATCCTATTGCAGAGGGTTGCCTTACAATCGTACGTTGAATCAACATCTTTTTTATACACACCTCTGGTTTCATGCTGCTCTTCAGAGGCAGGGTGGGTGGAGGAGGCCTAGCCCTGGTCCAGTCATCCTGCTGGTCCCTCTGTGGGTCCAACAGGCTGCTCTTCAGAGGCAGGGTGGGTGGAGGAGGCCTAGCCCTGGTCCAGTCATCCTGCTGGTCCCTCTGTGGGTCCAACAGGCTGCTCTTCGGAGGCAGGGTGGGTGGAGGAGGCCTAGCCCTGGTCCAGTCATCCTGCTGGTCCCTCTGTGGGTCCAACAGGCTGCTCTTCGGAGGCAGGGTGGGTGGAGGAGGCCTAGCCCTGGTCCAGTCATCCTGCTGGTCCCTCTGTGGGTCCAACAGGCTCCTAACAGCTGTCACACTGACCACGGGCTTCTGTCTGGGGTTGACTTTGATGATGTCATAGACTTCTCCTCTGGAAGACTGAAGGATCACGACACCATCAGTTTTACTTACAGGTACTGTGACCACCACCATTATAAATGACAAGATTGATTTACTGATAGACTGTATACTATGACCACTACCATTATAACTGACAATATACCTACTTGAACCAGTTAAACACACACTAGCTTACAAAATGCCTTCTTGAATACCTTCTTGAGTTCAAATGATAACATAAAGACTGTGTAACTTGGTCCCAGATCTGTGAAGTTGACAACACAGCACAAATAGACCAGGCTAGAGATAGGAGGTCAGGTACTCTCTGAAGGGTTAAACAACAGGTCTGGGACCAGGCTAGAGATAGGAGGTCAGGTACTCTCTGAAGGGTTAAACAACAGGTCTGGGACCAGGCTATAGGCAGTCTCTCCTCACCTCTACACAGGAGCAGGTCAGGTACTCTCTGAAGGGTTAAACAACAGGTCTGGGACCAGGCTAGAGATAGGAGGTCAGGTACTCTCTGAAGGGTTAAACAACAGGTCTGGGACCAGGCTATAAGCAGTCTCTCCTCACCTCTACACAGGAGCAGGTCAGGTACTCTCTGAAGGGTTAAACAACAGGTCTGGGACCAGGCTAGAGACAGTCTCTCCTCACCTCTACACAGGAGCAGGTCAGGTACTCTCTGAAGGGTTAAACAACAGGTCTGGGACCAGGCTAGAGACAGTCTCTCCTCACCTCTACACAGGAACAGGTCAGGTACTCTCTGAAGGGTTAAACAACAGGTCTGGGACCAGGCTAGAGGCAGTCTCTCCTCACCTCTACACAGGAGCAGGTCAGGTACTCTCTGAAGGGCTCTATTGGGCTGGTCTTGTAGTGCTCTATCAGGTCTCTCAGGGTCTCATGCTCCTCTGTGTCTCCAGACACTATGAACTGGCCTGACTTACTCTGGTTGATTACAAAGTGTCTGCATCGATCACGACCTCTGGAAGACAATAATAACACTGGTAAGTCCGGGGTATGCTGCTATGTTCTACTGTGGTCCACTGGTATCTCCACTGTTATCTATGTTATCTCCACTGTTATCTATGGTATCTCCACTGTTATCTATGTTATCTCCACTGTTATCTCCACTGTTATCTATGTTATCTCCACTGTTATCTATGGTATCTCCACTGTTATCTCCACTGTTATCTATGTTATCTCCACTGTTATCTATGTTATCTCCACTGTTATCTTCACTGTTATCTCCACTGCTATCTCCACTGTTATCTGTCATCTCCACTTATCTCTACTGTTATCTGTGTTATCTCCACTGTTATCTCCACCGTTATTTATGTTATCTCCACTGTTATCTATGTTATCGCCACTGTTATCTATGTTATCTCCACTGGTATCTATGTTATCTCCACTGTTATCAGCACTGGTATTTATGTTATCTCCACTGTTATCTCCCCTGTTATCTATGTTATCTTCACTTTTATCTCCACTGTAATATATGTTATCTCCACTGTTATCTCCACCGGTATCTATGTTATCTCCACTGATTTCTCCACTGTTATCTATGTTATCGTCACTGTTGTCTATCTTACCTCCACTGTTATCTATGTTATCTCCACTGGTATCTCCTCTGGTATCTATGTTATCTCCACTGTTATCTATGTTATCTCCACTGATATCTCCACTGTTATCTCCACTGGTATGTATGTTATCTCCACTGATATGTATGTTATCTCCACTGTTATATATGTTATCTCCACTGTTATATATGTTATATACACTGTTATCTATGTTATCTCCACAGTTATCACCACTGTTATCTCCACTGTTATCTATGCTATCTCCACAGTTATCTCCACTGTTATCTCCACTGTTATCTATGTTATCTTTGTCATCTCTACTGTTATCTCCACTGGTATCTCCACTGTTATCTATGTTATCTCCGCTGTTATCTATGTTATCTACACTGGTATCTCCACTGGTATCTCCACTGTTATCTATGCTATCTCCACAGTTATCTCCACTGTTATCTCCACTGTTATCTATGTTATCTTTGTCATCTCTACTGTTATCTCCACTGGTATCTCCACTGTTATCTATGTTATCTCCGCTGTTATCTATGTTATCTACACTGGTATCTCCACTGTTATCTATGTTATCTCCACTGGTATCTCCACTGTTATCTATGTTATCTCTGCTGTTATCTATGTTATCTCCACTGGTATCTCCACTGTTATCTATGTTATCTCTGCTGTTATCTATGTTATCTACACTGGTATCTCCACTGTTATCTATGTTATCTCCACTGGTATCTCCACTGTTATCTATGTTATCTCTGCTGTTATCTATGTTATCTCCACTGGTATCTCCACTGTTATCTATGTTATCTCTGCTGTTATCTATGTTATCTACACTGGTATCTCCACTGGTATCTCCACTGTTATCTTCACTGTTATCTATGTTATCTACATAGAAGAAGAACAAGCAGAACTGACCTGTATGACAGGATGTATCCCATGGCTTTGTCACTGAGTCGGATCAGGAAACAGCCCAGTTCCTTGTCTCTCAGTGTCTCCTCAGCATCTCTACAGAAGCATTAAAAAGCATTAAAAAGCAATATAACCTCAAACCTCAGAAAGGTATTATTGATATGTTATAGGAAGGTATTATTGATATGTTATAGGGAGGTATTATTGATATGTTATAGGGAGTTATTATTGATATATTATAGGGAGGTATTATTGATATTTTATTTATTTATTTTTATTTTTGGTCATTTAGCAGACGCTCTTATCCAGAGCGACTTACAGGAGCAATTAGGGTTAAGTGCCTTGCTCAAGGGCACATCGACAGATTTTTCACCTAGTCGGCTCGGGGATTAGAACCAGCGACCTTTCGGTTACTGGCACAACGCTCTTACCCACTAAGCTACCTGCCGCCCGATATGTTATAGGAAGGTATTATTGATATGTTATAGGGAGGTATTATTGATATGTTATAGGGAGGTATTATTGATATATTATAGGGAGGTATTATTGATATGTTATAGGGAGTTATTATTGATATGTTATAGGGAGATATTATTGATATGTTATAGGGAGGTATTATTGATATGTTATAGGGAGGTATTATTGATATATTATAGGGAGGTATTATTGATATGTTATAGGGAGGTATTATTGATATGTTATAGGGAGGTATTATTGATATGTTATAGGGAGGTATTATTGATATGTTATAGGCAAGTATTATTGATATGTTATAGGGAGGTATTATTGATATATTATAGGGAGGTATTATTGATATGTTATAGGGAGGTATTATTGATATGTTATAGGCAAGTATTATTGATATGTTATAGGGAGGTATTATTGATATATTATAGGGAGGTATTATTGATATGTTATAGGGAGTTATTATTGATATGTTATAGGGAGATATTATTGATATGTTATAGGGAGGTATTATTGATATGTTATAGGGAGGTATTATTGAATTTATAGGGAGGTATTATTGATATGTTATAGGGAGTGTATATTGATATGTTATAGGGAGGTATTATTGATATGTTATAGGGAGGTATTATTGATATGTTATAGGAAGGTATTATTGATATGTTATAGGGAGGTATTATTGATATGTTATAGGGAGGTATTATTGATATGTTATAGGGAGGTATTATTCATATGTTATAGGAAGGTATTATTGATATGTTATAGGGAGGTATTATTGATATGTTATAGGGAGGTATTATTGATATGTTATAGGGAGGTATTATTGATATATTATAGGGAGGTATTATTGATATATTTAGGGAGGTATTATTGATATGTTATAGGGAGGTATTATTGATATGTTATAGGGAGGTATTATTGATATGTTATAGGAAGGTATTATTGATAGTTTATAGGGAGGTATTATTGATATGTTATAGGCAAGTATTATTGATATGTTATAGGGAGGTATTATTGATATATTATAGGGAGGTATTATTGATATGTTATAGGGAGGTATTATTGATATGTTATAGGGAGGTATTATTGATATGTTATAGGAAGGTATTATTGATATGTTATAGGGAGGTATTATTGATATGTTATAGGGAGGTATTATTGATATGTTATAGGGAGGTATTATTGATATATTATAGGGAGGTATTATTGATATGTTATAGGGAGGTATTATTGATATGTTATAGGGAGGTATTATTGATATGTTATAGGGAGGTATTATTGATATGTTATAGGTAAGTATTATTGATATGTTATAGGGAGGTATTATTGATATGTTATAGGGAGGTATTATTGATATGTTATAGGGAGGTATTATTGATATGTTATAGGGAGGTATTATTGATATGTTATAGGGAGGTATTATTTATATATTATAGGGAGGTATTATTAATACCTGCATCTCACAAACACAATGACTAAAAAATACCAAACAGAAGGTAGCGATAATTCAAGAAAACGCTGGAAAGGAAATGAATGCACCCTGATCTATTTATTCCAAATTAAAACATAAATCATTCCAAAATAAATGTGACTAAACTCCCCATCAGCTGGAAAATGAATCTTACAGTGAGTCACTACCCTATAAACAGCTAACGTCACTATGGAATGCATTACACCGCACTACACTGCACAAAATAGCCATGATTTGCCAATCAATCTCCAATCCAATCAATCTCTCAATAGAGATGTATGTAGAAGTGCTTACCTTCTGTTGATGAATCCTTCGAACCAGGAGGGGACATTTCCCTCATGGAGGATGAGATGAGCTTGAGTCTCCATGAACCACTTCAGGACCATCTTTCTCTGCCTGAACCCTGTCCCCAGACGCCCCTCTGTCCCCTGGTCCTGCTGGGACTCCCCCGCCGGCTGGCTCTGGTCCATCCTGACCCGGTTCTATCCACACCCCACCAAGAGGGACAGCAGTCAGCACAAATGAGAACAGGTGAGCCAATACAATCCTAACCCAGGCATGGACCTAATGTTAACCTAATGGTAAACAGTGGAACAGTCAGTGCAGTGAGGCAGCAGACTGATTTGCCTATCTTCCGTTAGACGTCACCCTGACAGCGAGGCCAGCTGAAGGTGTCCATTGTTCCAGTTTATCATCCCTGGTTTCTGTACTACTCTCACTGCCTATTAATACTGGTCAGGGTCAGGACAATACAAAGATACAGATACATTACATAGATACAGATACATTACAGAGATGGAGACACATTACATAGATACAGACATTACATAGATACAGATACATTACATAGATACAGATACATTACATAGATACAGATACATTACAGAGATGGAGACACATTACATAGATACAGACATTACATAGATACAGACATTACAAAGATACAGACATTACATAGATACAGACATTACAAAGATACAGATACATTACATAGATACAGATACATTACATAGATACAGATACATTACATAGATACAGATACATTACATAGATACAGATACATTACAGAGATGGAGACACATTACATAGATACAGACATTACATAGATACAGATACATTACATAGATACAGATACATTACATAGATACAGATACATTACATAGATACAGATACATTACATAGATACAGATACATTACAGAGATGGAGACACATTACATAGATACAGACATTACAAAGATACAGATACATTACATAGATACAGACTAAATAAGTTATACTGTTCAGCCATTAGCCAGCTTTTGACATAAAAAAAAAAGTGGTTGTGGTTAATATACACTGTAATACTGTAACTAACTAACTAGCTAGCGAACTAACTAACTAACTAACTAACTAACTAACTAACTAACTAACTAACTAACTAACTAACTAACTAACTAACTAACTAACCCTATTATCTGAGCAGTCAAAGGTGTTCCAGTTTATCATCCCTGGTTTCTGTACTACTCTCACTGCCTATTAATACTGGTCAGGGTCAGGACAATACAAAGATACAGATACATTACATAGATACAGATACATTACAGAGATGGAGACACATTACATAGATACAGACATTACATAGATACAGATACATTACATAGATACAGATACATTACAGAGATGGAGAGACATTACATAGATACAGACATTACAAAGATACAGATACATTACATAGATACAGATACATTACAGAGATGGAGAGACATTACATAGATACAGACATTACATAGATACAGATACATTACATAGATACAGATACATTACAGAGATGGAGACACATTACATAGATACAGACATTACATAGATACAGATACATTACATAGATACAGATACATTACAGAGATGGAGAGACATTACATAGATACAGACATTACAAAGATACAGATACATTACATAGATACAGATACATTACATAGATACAGATACATTACAGAGATGGAGACACATTACATAGATACAGACATTACATAGATACAGACATTACAAAGATACAGACATTACATAGATACAGACATTACAAAGATACAGATACATTACAAAGATACAGATACATTACATAGATACAGATACATTACAGAGATGGAGACACATTACATAGATACAGACATTACATAGATACAGACATTACAAAGATACAGACATTACATAGATACAGACATTACAAAGATACAGATACATTACATAGATACAGATACATTACATAGATACAGATACATTACATAGATACAGATACATTACATAGATACAGATACATTACAGAGATGGAGACACATTACATAGATACAGACATTACATAGATACAGATACATTACATAGATACAGATACATTACAGAGATGGAGACACATTACATAGATACAGACATTACAAAGATACAGATACATTACATAGATACAGACTAAATAAGTTATACTGTTCAGCCATTAGCCAGCTTTTGACATAAAAAAAAAAGTGGTTGTGGTTAATATACACTGTAATACTGTAACTAACTAACTAGCTAGCGAACTAACTAACTAACTAACTAACTAACTAACTAACTAACTAACTAACTAACTAACTAACTAACTAACTAACTAACTAACTAACTAACTAACTAACTAACCCTATTATCTGAGCAGTCAAAGGAAAACTGGACTCACAAGCCGAAAGCCGTATAATGACCATTAACACATTACTATTTAACATCTCTGTATTTACTGTTTACTGCTGGGTAAAAAAAAGTGCATTCAAGTTATCAAAGTTATGTGACTGGTGTGTGATGGAGATTAAAGACTGTTCAATAGTTTTTATCATGAGATCTTTACTATGTTGGATGTTATGTACCTTGAGGCAGGTCCTGAAGCTATGTGCTATAGGATGTCTCTGTCTCGGGTCCAGCTGTTTCCCTGGTACCAAGCAGTGTAGCAGGGCTGAGACAGGGTCGGGTCCAGCTGTTTCCCTGCCAGGTACCAAGCAGTGTAGCAGGGCTGAGACAGGGTCTGGTCCAGCTGTTTCCCTGCCAGGTATCAAGCAGTGTAGCAGGGCTGAGACAGGGTCGGGTCCAGCTGTTTTCCCTGCCAGGTACCAAGCAGTGTAGCAGGGCTGAGACAGGGTCGGGTCCAGCTGTTTCCCTGCCAGGTACCAAGCAGTGTAGCAGGGCTGAGACAGGGTCGGGTCCAGCTGTTTCCCTGCCAGGTACCAAGCAGTGTAGCAGGGCTGAGACAGGGTCGGGTCCAGCTGTTTCCCTGCCAGGTACCAAGCAGTGTAGCAGGGCTGAGACAGGGTCGGGTCCAGCTGTTTCCCTGCCAGGTACCAAGTAGTGTAGCAGGGCTGAGACAAGGGTCGGGGTCCAGCTGTTTCCCTGGTATCAAGCAGTGTAGTAGGGCTGAGACAGGGTCGGGTCCAGCTGTTTCCCTGCCAGGTATCAAGCAGTGTAGCAGGGCTGAGACAGGGTCGGGTCCAGCTGTTTCCCTGCCAGGTATCAAGCAGTTAGCAGGGCTGAGACAGGGTCGGGTCCAGCTGTTTCCCTGCCAGGTATCAAGCAGTGTAGCAGGGCTGAGACAGGGTCGGGTCCAGCTGTTTCCCTGCCAGGTATCAAGCAGTGTAGCAGGGCTGAGACAGGGTCGGGTCCAGCTGTTTCCCTGCCAGGTATCAAGCAGTGTAGCAGGGCTGAGACAGGGCGTTCTGAGACCTGAGGTGTCTAGATTGCAGACAGCAGTTCCACGAGGTTCCTGTTCACACAACAGGAAAACTACAGGTCAACTGTAAGAAAAGCTTAATGATTGACAGGTTGTTATAACATACTGTGTGATAACATCCAATAAGATAACAAAAACAGAAAGAGCTTCAGTTCAGTCATTGGAAAGCTAGAGAAACTGTAGACGTACCTGTGGTGGCGTGATCCTAGAGTCACCTCAGCCAGTGTGTGGTGGCGTGATCCTAGAGGCACCTCAGCCAGTTGAAGTCAATCCTCTTCTATGTATTTAGGGTCTCTGAGGAGAGGATTACTGAAGGAGTACACCTCTGAACATGTCTGATATACACACAACATCTGCTCTGCCCTTCCGTGGGGGCGTCGTTGTGTAATGGTAGAATCTACCGTACGGTTGAGATTTGCATCAGAGAGAGAAGGGCCTCCACCAAGCAACAGTTTCCTGAAGATGAGTGGAAAGTCAACCTGTGGAGGAGAAACTGTGGTTTCTGAGCCGCTGTATTTCAGTATCCCTAGGCAACAGTAAATGGTTTTACCCACAGAACTAGAATGAGATCATATATCGACTCACAGAGAAAGTCTGTTTAGTGGAACTGCGGGAGCCTGAAACACTTTGGCTTTGGTTAGTACATTTTCTGTAAACTGCCTGACTTTGAATTTTCAGAGCTTGTGAATCAAGGAACAGATTAGCATTGGTACTGTAGGCCCATTAGATTAGTTTAGATTAGATTAGATTAGATTAGATTAGATTAGATTAGATTAGATTAGTTTAGATTAGATTAGACTAGATTAGATTAGATTAGATTAGATTAGATTAAATTAGTTTAGATTAGATTAGATTAGTTTAGATTAGATTAGATTAGATTAGATTAGATTAGTTTAGATTAGATTAGATTAGATTAGATTAGATTATTAGTCACATTGTGATGAGGTGGTGTTGAAGGAGTCAGGCGCAGGAGGGTAAATCACAGAATAACAGGCTTTAATCCGCAAAATACAGGTTTACGCAGAACTGCGTCAAACACACTCCAGGGCACAAAACAGGCGCACTGGAAAATACAAGGCACACGGGAAAATACTCCCGTCGATACAAAATACACGAGCTCCACCGAGCTTCACTAACCTCCACAATGAACAATCACCCACAAGGACAAGGGGGCAGAGGGAACACTTATACATGTACTAATGAGGGGATATGAACCAGGTGTGTGTGATAACGAGACAAGACAATTGTGATGATGATTGGGGCGGCAGTGGTTAGTACTCCGGTGACGACGGACGCCGAAGCCTGGCCGAACCAGGAGAGGAAGTCGTGACACACATGCACAGGGTCACAGATGTAATCGCAGGGTGACATTTTTAAGCTCCGAGCTTTAAAAAAAAAGATAAGAAAATGAGACAAAAATAAAACATAATAATGATATTTACACATTTACAACTGTAGCAACGACACATGTCCATGGGGGGGGGGGGGGGGGGGGGGGGGGGGTTCTTTACTACTGTAACTATGGGAACCTGACTTCAAAAATACTTTGTTAGTAAAAATAACTTGTGAATCATGGCAAAGAGTCAGACTAACAATTGGTCAGGCCTAGCTCTTTGTCAATATCAGAAACAGAACTAAAATGGTCCCTAATGTGGATTTGATTGTTGAGAAGTATATTAATGTGTCTTTTGGCATGGCTTGAGAATCTCTCTCTCTCTCTCTCTCTCTCTCTCTCTCTCTCTCTCTCTCTCTCT